CTACTTGTCAGGTGTTTCCCTCTCAGTCTCCTTTGTGGCCTCCTATCCATTCCTCAGCCTTCTCTTGAGTATTAATATCCTTGGAGTTTGGTCTTAAGCCTTCTCTTCTTTTGATGCCATGGGCGCCCCCCCCCCCACCCCGGAAGACCCCATCCATTGCCCCATTTGTTGTTCCCATGTGTGGACTGATAATCCCAAGTCTAACCTCCTTTTCAGGCCTTGAGCTTTAGACCTATTTCCAGTTGCCTGCAAGACAACTGCAAGACTTGGCACCTCAAAGCCACCATGTCCTGAACTGAGCCCATCATTCAACCCTCACCCCCAACCCTGCTTCTCCTCTTCCTGGATTCCTTATCTCAGAGAACAGTGCCATCATACCTGTACTTCCTTAATCCTGCAATTAAGTCCAGTCAACGAGTTCTTTGCTTTTGGCACCAATGCTTCACTGACCCCTCCAGGTTCTTAACCCATACCGCTGATACTTTAGGCGTGGCCATTGTCATTGCTTGCCTGTGTAACCTGCATAAAGCTGAGCATCTTCACGTTCAGTGTCATCAGAGTTGTAACCCAAAGAAACGTCATCTATGCATCCCAAAAACGCTGGAAAGCAATTTAATTTGTACAGAAGTCTTTTGACAAGGTGCTAGTCATTTATATATATCTTTTGTCTCCATCACACCTATATTACTTCAACAGCCTCTTAAGTGGTCTCCTTGCCTGTAACACTGTTTCCCTCCACTTAGTTCTCTATGCAATAGCTAGAGAGATCTTTAAAAAAATTTTTTTCGTGTTTATTTTTGAGAGAGAGAAAGAGAGAGAGAGAGAGAGAGTGCAAGTGGGGGAGGGGCAGAGAGAGAGGGAGACACAGAATCTGAAGCAAGCTCCGAGCTGTCAGCACAGAGACCCACGAGGGGCTCGAACTCACGAACCTCAAGATCTTGACCTGAGCCAAAATCGGAAGCTTAAATGACTGAGCCAGCCTCCCCATCTACTCCCCCAAATGACTGTTTTTCTAAAGCTGAAGCTGTATAAGGAAAAAGGAAGGGAGGGCATGAGGGAAACGGAGGCTTGGAATGAAATACCATAGGGGAAATGTGATTCTGCGTCCTGGTTACCAGGGCTCCTTCTCACTGGGCTGCGCTCTACATCCCCACCTGAAAGGGACGAGGTAGCTTTTTATTGTGGCAATTATGGCTAGCAAATGGCATGTGAAAAAGAACCCTTCTCATGGTGATGAGGAGCATATGTTTGCTCTATTTAGACAAAGAATTCTCTTTTGAGCATAACTTTTCCACACAGAAACAGATAAGTTGTTTAGACTTGACTGATTGCAATACTAAGTGTCCTATTTTAAGTTAAAAATATCCCACAAGTGAATCATATACGTGCATCTTCTCTTTCGTCCCCCTCCTCCATGGAAACACATTCACACCCTTCCTTTCTGCCATAAATAATGCTCCTTTTCCTTGCCTTCCACAGGATTTTGCATCATGGAAAGTTAGGTTGCTCGACGACGCGACAGCCTGATCCACTCAAATCTCTCTTAAGAATGGTTCATTCATGGGGTCAGTTTTCCAGGCCTTTCCAGGGCCTTTTCAGGCCCATTTTATTTTTGTAGTGGACTATATCTGATTACTTTCTGCATTTCTGAGGCGAGGGAGGGGCACATAGAGAAGAAGAAATCCCCCAAATAGGCACATTTTTAGTGTTTTATAGAGATGTGTATGTTTGGAGGATGGAGACGGGAAGGGATCGCAGAGCTAACGACTAAAGCAAGGTTTCCAGATGATGCTTTACTTGCCTTGTGGTGCTAGGTTCCAGGGATACAAAGCACAAAGTGACATGAATGCCCTAACCCTGGCAGATATCGCCGGCTGCCTCCCCAGCAGCGATCCTTCATCCCTTGCCAAGAGAAGCCTGGTTCTCATTTAAGAATTACGCAGCAATATGCTTAGGGAAGGGAACCCAATTCCAGAGGGTTTGAGTCCATTTTGGAGATCCCATTTCCCCTTTGCCAGTGTCCGGTGAAGGGCAAGGGCACATGATTCGATTCCTGGCATCTTTCTTACCTCTGATCATCTCACTATGTGAATTCATGAGACCTGACAGTTTAAACTATTTTTATTTTTTTTTAGATTTTTTAAAAAAATGTTTATTTTATTTTTGTTTTTGAGAGAGAGAGAGAGAGAGAGAATGAGAGAATGAGTGGGGAAGTCGGACGCTCAATCGACTGAGCCACCCAGGTGCCCCAAACTATTTTTATTTTTATTTTTTTAGGGAGAGAGAGAGAGAGAGAGAGAGAGAGAGAGAGAGAGAATAATAGCGTGCACACCCATGGGGGAGGAGCAGAGAGACAGGGAGAGAGAGAATCCCAAGCAGGCTCAGCACTATCAGGGTAGAGCCCAATGCAGGGCTCGAACCCACCAACCGTGAGATCATGA